AGCCCTGGACCATCAGCACTGTCTTGCAGCTAAACTTACCACTAAGCACTGTCAGGTCCAATCACATTACTCTGTGCTGAAACCAGAATGCAGATCCTCTGACCAGTTTCACTTCTGCAAAAATGCCCATGCATTTTCTTCTTCTGCTCCAGAATGGATGGCACATCGCACACATCCAGCTGTTTGGCAAACTGCTGTTTCCCTGGGTACAAACAATGATTAAAGATGTTATCCGTTTAGTAATACTGCTAGCTCTTTACAAACAAAATACTCACTGATTAATACTTCAAGGGTGCAAACGTACTTCCTCTCCTGAGGTTTAAACATATTTGATTCAAAGTCCAATTATCATTTTCTGCTGAATCGCATTAATGTGGATCCTAATACATTTATTTACTCATATAAATTGTTTAATGGTCTGAGTGTGAGATCTATACTGCTGAAGACATGTACTGTACTTCCTGTCTGTCCAGACAAATGCTGCAATTACACATTAATCTAGTTTTAAACTTGATCTGCGCTTTGTCATAATATTCTACTATCTGTGATGACGGTGGGTTTCTCCATAAACTATCGTGTTTGTGTCCACACTAGTATGGCAGTTGTATGAATGGTTTGGACTTTTGTGAATGTACTTGGGATCACAAATGCCATTCACGCTCTGGGTCTGTGAAGCCTGGTCACTGCCATTGAAGCTTAAGACAGGAATAGACTGGAAGTTTTGCATCTGTGCATAATTAGAATATCTGCCACCAGTATTAGCAGTGCAAGTCACGGGCAATTCCACTTACCTGAGGGTAGGGCATTGATTAACAAGGCCACTCTGGACATTCAGGCTTTCTACTGGAAAGTACACCAGATAAAAATATCCAGAGAAATACAATCCAGCTGTACAGTATATATTACACAAAACCAATAATTTTATCCTCTACAGTAAACTATTAATCAGGTACTTGGCTAGTACATCTTACCACTATACTGCTGAAATACTGAAACTACTACTACTACTACTACTACTACTACTACTACTACTACTAATAATAATAATAATAATTATTATTATTATTATAACAACACCAATAATAATACTAAAAAGGAGGAAGAAGAGTAAATAAAATATTTAAAGCAAGCATATGCCAGTGTATAAAACTAAACCTGAATAAATCTTGTTTGCGACATACTGTATTTACCCAAGATGTTTTTTTTTTGTTTCTATTTCAGTTAATCTTTCTGGACACCAAGCAACTCTTTTAATAAATCGTGTTACTGAAATTAAGCAACGTGGTAACAAAAAAAGCCTGTACACCGTATATGTATGAGAAACCAAAACTACAAAGTTAAACGAAAGATTTTGCATCCTCTCATTCGTGTTATGATTTAAATAAGAATGGTAAAAAAAAAAACTAAATAGACATGCCGTTATATTATGGGTAGTGAATATGTACTGTCCGTGGGATAGCACAGTGCTCCATAAAATCAGCAAGCATAATACATAATCTAGTTCACGTGACATGCGACCCTGTGTAGGACAAGGGGGTGTAGAAAATTAATGAATAGGCATGTCGTGCACATCTAACTGAAAAAGGTGACGTTCCCGAAAACCACATGTGTCACGATCGGTGTGAAGGCCGGTATAAATGCGGAGCCTGCAAACAAACAGGACCGCGACCCCAATGAAGGCACCGGCCCATACCGCCTATAAGAACTGGATCAGGTTACACCGGCCCTACGTCAGCCTCTGGATCACATGGTGATTGCTGCTATTTCAGGCATTAAGTCTTGGGTCAAAAGTTTTTATTATTTTTTTTCTTGGCTTTTTCCCCCCGTGCTTTGGAAAACACGGTGGACGCCGGCTGCGATTCGCGCTCCCGTCGCGCTCCATCATAAAGTGACCGAGCCTCTTGGAGGAGGGATAACTATCTCTAATTGGCTTCCGCAGATGACCGCCAGCTCCCACGGGTGTGAGGATTAGCACTAGGCGCACCAACGCCGGCTGCTTTAAACGTTATTCCCGGCTTCACCTCTCCGCCTATTCAGCAATAAGTAGAGCCCGGCGCAGCGCCCATTTGTGCGGGCTCTTTGACTCGTAAACGCAGGACACTTCTGGATCTTCAACGTCGCCAGTTCGCCCGTGATCCGGCGGGGGGGGGGAGAGAAAAGTTTGAGCTGAAACTCAATGAAAATGAGTGATCTGCAGGGAGAATTCACCAAGCTCCTTGTGCTGAAGGATGAGAGGATAAAGGACATGGAGAGACGCCTCGTCGAGAAAGAAGAGGAGATCCATGAACTGAAAAGAAAGCTGCACAAATGTCAGTCGGTGCTGCCGAGCGCTCAGATCATCGGACCCAGGACCAGACGAGCCCAAGGAATTTCGGCGGAACCACAGACATATAGGTCCTTCCAAGATCTAACCAGCCAAGCCTTTCGGAAACACGCCAAGTCTGACAGGTAAATAATTTCTTCATCTTAAACATCTGGCATGAAATATGTGACAGACTGATTATTTTTGGGGGTAGTAACATTAAGATTTTAATGCATGCTTGTTAACATGCATCGATTCTAATTAATTGTTATTTTTGATGTACCCTATGTCGTACAGTATGGTACACAGCAAGCGATTCTGGGCAAAGACACACTAACGTGCCATAAAAAGTACTTTCCGACTTCCACATTCAGACTTTCTGAAATGTCACCGGCTTGCATTTTCGCTCAGAATTGCTATAGGGGTTTCGAGAGGGGAAGAATAACACAAGGCACTGGAGTTTAATTGATCGTATCCATTATTGAATTCCCGGGGGAAATTGAGTACAGGAAGTACAAGGCTTTATTGGCTCTTAGTGGAAGGATGCTGAGAGCCGAAATGCATGTTTAGGGATATTTAATACACCATTAGAAAACGCTGGTGCGCCCACATGTTTCCATCGCTTTCTTTGCACTCTGTCTCCTCTCTTGTTTTCAAAGCGCCTATGGATGTTTTTTTCCCCCCCAATCTGTAACACCGGCGTTTCAGAAAGTCTCAGAGAGCGATTAAACTATAGAAAATCAGCCTTCGCGGGCAACTCTCATTCCCTCCATTGGTATCGTAGAATGTTACCATAGAGATGGGAAGTATTACATCAAAATGAGCTGAGTGTGTATTTCTCGTGTGTCTTAAGGTACTAATAAAATCATCATAATCATGATGAAATTGTTGTACTGTATAAGTACATTTTGTGTAGATTTCTGTATGCCCGCTTGGGTGAAAGTAAGGAGTCACGTTCATTTTTTTCGTATGGGAAAATGTGTTCTGCACATAAATAGTAACGACAATGTCTTTATTGCTTTTTCAATGTGTTTCGCCAGGATGGACATAAATATAGGTCTGCCGTCATTGTCTTTCTGTAGTTAAATTTTGACTATATATGGTGTTCAGGTATAAATAAACACAGACAATGCGCGATAATCCAGGCTATGAGACGAAGTAGGTTTAAGCTTGATTAGCGACATTTATGGCCGATCACTTTAGATAATTTCAGACCGGTCAGGGACCTTGTTAAAAGGAACCTTTTAATGTAAAGACCTATACTTTTGACAGTCAGTTAACTAATATCCTCGCCGCTTTATTACCATAAACAAGTAATCACCAACAACCTACCTTCTTAGCAGAGGGAGGTCTCCGTTTAAATTAGTGCCACTACAAGTAATATTAACACAGACACAAATTTAAGACCCACTGCTCTGCGATATGACAGCACTTAGTATATCCAGTGATTAGATAATTACTGCTCAAAAGAGTTTGGGCCAATTGTTCTTATTATATTCATTGTACCTCTAACATCTAGCGCTTGAAAGTTGTAATTAATAAGTATTTCCTTTTTATTCAGCGGAATAATAACGGCTTTGTCAATAAGTGACTCTTTGGACATGAGAAAGGTAACGCCTAACGCAAAAAGTGAAGGACGGCTGACCGCTGTAGGTAATCAGTCATCCATTTTACTGTAGGGCATAATTAATCTTTGGTGTTTTAAACAGTTTCTCGAGTCTAGCAGTTCTAAGTATATGCTTCCTGCTTTTACATTCATTAACTGTTTCATGTTTGGAACCTTAAGATCAAGAATGTTTTTTCCAAATCTTTGATATTTTCTTATAAACTGTTGTTGTTCAGCACAACAACACTTAAGGCATGTTTATAACCAAGATATCATAAATATTCTGTCGATGAACAGACCCCCGTAATTATATATTAGTTGAAACAGTTCCGAAAAGAGGGTGTAATTTATGGCAAAACAACGATCGATCCATTCATATTGTAACCACAAGATGGCAGAAAAACTCTCTTCCTTATTCAGTTTCGTGTATCTGAATAGCTTGAATCTTGAAACTTTATCAGTTATATTTCAGACACATTAATATACGAAGTATTGGAGTCGTCTGTTACACATGTGGAAAGGTAAATTCTCATTCTGACAAGAGATTCGTGAAATTATATGTTTATGTTGGTTATTTATAATTAAATACATAAGTCTGCAAGTACAGTCCGAATAAAGATTATGCCATTAATTTATGCACTATTAAGTGAAATATTATCCGCAACGATGATGGCTTTTTTTTTGTAAAAGGTGTTTTTAAAGTGATGCAGATCTTGAAAATATTCATTCACCTTGCTCTCTAGCATAGTTTTTCAGTGAGTATCGGCAGCGGTCATTTCAGGAGTGGATTTACACAGAAACAAATGGTGATGAGGCTAGGCATGTAACACCTATGTTATATAATAATGTATAACTGTTTTCATTTTGTACTTTTGTAATAATATTACTTTATATTATCTTTATTTTATACAGTAATCTCATGCCAATAATTACACATCATACAAATCAGATCACAAATTTCTAATTTAAACAGATGTAATTCAATTATTTGTAAAACTCAATTTTGTCCAGAAAACAAAAGATTAGTATGAAACTCGTCTTCCACAAAAAAACATTGTCTTATTCATTACCTTCCATTTGTCAAAGCTAAAAAAAAAACAATGTTTCTTCATCACCTTGTGTCCTGAGGCAATGAAATAAACCTGATTATAAAAAGTTTATCAAATTGTTTCCTGAGGCACTGGTAGGAACCTACTGTTCCATACGGCCTAGGAATGGAAAGTCAAACAGAAATGATGGTTATGGCTTTGTTTTTGGTGAAAGTTAGAAGGTTGGTATGGGTTTAGCACATTTATGAAAAAGTGCTTTAATAATCTTTTCTCCAAAGTGCTTTCCAGATGAGTAGTTATTCGTGTTGTTTGTTATGTAGATACCAGTGTAATTTTGTAGTATTTTAAGAAGTCATTTCCTTTGAGAGTCCAACAGTATGCAATCATGGTGAACTTACTGCTGCACACACACACACACACACACACACACACACACACACACAATATCAAAATGAAATAGAAGTTTCAGGCAGGTTCAATGGAAAACTGTTATTAAACAAACGACAAGATTATGTTATATGAAATCATTTCTTCCTTCAAGCTCCCAGCATGAAAGTGGTCTGCAGAAGGTACTTTTTCAGAACATATTTTTCTGTGGTTTAGAGAAAAAAAAGGTGGAAATAAACTTAAAAACGATTGTTTCAGTGCCACTGGAGATGACAGACGGATTAAACAAAGGGGATTTGGCACTGTCCAGGCCTGTGTGAAAGACAACCAGAAGGGGTTAGGGCAGACAATGTGTTGGGCCCTCCTGTTTCTTCCAACAAAAAAACTCATAATTGGCAAGCTTCTTAAAGCACACTTCAGAATGGAAAGTGCATGATTTTGATCAGGCAGATAAAAGGCCAGCAATGTCCCTTCCTGTTATACAGAACCAAGACCCAGTGAGGGATCAGGTCTAGCATGAGCATCCCTTCTGTGGTCCACATGTTCACTTTGATCTGGATTGCTGCTGACTATCTGCTGTATTGACACCATCTCATCAGACGACCTTTAATTGAACTGAGCTGAATGTCTGAAACGGAATGAAAATCAAATGCACTTAATGAAAGAATTCTTAGGCTCAGTTGTCATTGGTTTGTGTTGGACAACATCTTCGGTATTACCTTGTTGTTTGCTGGTTATCAGATATATATATATTTTTTTCTGATTAAATGTACTGTTTTTGGGTAGCACAACAGCCATGATTTTTGCTTGATTTCGTTCATTGTCATATTTTTCCCCAAACTTTTTAACTATCGTAAAATTATGGGGTTTAATACAGTACAGGGCATATATTATTGACCACAAGAGGGCGCTTATGATCTTCCATTTTTTTTTACTGTTGACGTTCTTATTGGTTTATACCAAATAGTGATTGAACCAATAGGCAATTATTCCTTTAAGAAAATATAACAACGGCATGTCTTAAGGGAAAATATTTATGCAGTTAATTTTAATACTTTTCATTCATGCTTTTCTCCTAGACGAAGGCAAGATGAAAGGGCAAGGGAAAAGAATGAATGAATGAATGAATGAATGTTGAAGTAATTTTGTATCCTTTAATGGATTTTGTAATTACACTTTAGTAATCTACCTTTTTCCCTAAAAAATCAAATTATAAATTATTTTTCATGTGAAAGACCCACTTAGATGAAAAACTGAAAAGATGTACATATATATGTTAGCCATGTACATACAGTATATAAAAGATGCACACACATACACACACACATATATATATATACACATATATCTACACACATATATACACATATATCTACACACACACACACACACACACACACACACACCTTTGCATGACAAGACTATAATAGATGATAATCCTGCTGAACAGTGTATGTTTTGTCATATGTATTGTTTATTTCTGGTAAAGGTATTCAAAGATAATGAGATGACAGTCTGAAAATCTTGGTTGTTGAGAGACACAATAATGCAGTTCAATGGAAGTGGCAGGATCAGATTTTTAGATGTTTCCAAGAACCTGGATCAGATGAGTGAGATGGTTTGGGATGTATTTGAACTTACTCAAGCATCACTAGTGCATCACTAAGAAGCTGAGCAAATGCAGGCAAGATGGAACATACACACTGACAGAACTGTAGTATTTTGCAGGTATTTTGTAGCAAAACTAAGGGCATGACATTTTGCAGAGAGTCCCTACGCAGGAAGAGATGCAGGTCTGAGTTGTTGGTCTGCTGTCCCTGAAACACTGCAGGGTCTTGCCTAACAGCAGCGTGAAGTCAGAAATGGTGTGTGGAAGACCTAAGGGATCAGGTACACAGAACAATAGCTCAGTAATTACTGACCGGGTGGCTGAGAGGGACGCTAGCAGAACAGCAGTCTGATCCCTTCTTAGGTGACCTGGACCCCGTTGACTGCAGTGCTGGATTTTTCAGTTTGCGCAGTGGTGCAAAATATACAGTATCCTGCAGATCTAGCAAGACTGGCCAAAAAGATAAGCGACACAGCTGCCAGACGAGGGGATTTGTGACATTATAGCTGTGTTAGTTATGGATGGAGAGGAGATCAGAATCATCTTCCGATAAGGAGTCGTCTTGGGGAACGTTGGAGTGTGTTAGAGCGGCGACACCGTGCGATGCTGGATCAAAGGCTGGTCAGGCTGAGATGAAGATAGGGATGCGAGCAATGGGCTGAGTGAGAGAGGAAGTGGCATGAAGGAGAACATTAAAATGTAAGCCTACAATCAATGCAAGAGGAAAGGGCATGTGAATGTCTAGGGTGGTGGAAGTGTTGCCATTTGAAATCCCATGGCCAGCAGAGGAAACATCTCACCGTTGGACCACTGAGCAAAGGCCACAATCCCAAACCTGCTCCAGGGGTGTTAGGGAGACCCTGTGCTCTGACCTCCATATGTGTCTCTTATAGGTGCATAGGATGCAATGCATGAAAGCTAAAGAATTCCTGCAAGCTTAGATATTCATTATATTTGATGAACATACAAGGAGTAAAATATGCATGTACCGTGTATCACGAAATGAACAAGGTGGATGCTATGCTTTATACATAGTTGGTCATATTCGAAAGAACATTATGAAAGGAACATATTGGGAAGATATAGAAAAGGGGTATCTGAAAAAATATTCCATAAAAGTTGCTTGGGAAGGCAGCACGTCAAGACGGCAGTATAGCTGTGGATTCAAAGTTTGAAGATTTCTGTAGGGTTAGGAAAATGTTTCATGCAAATTATCCCAAGGGCTATCAAGTCGGGTGTGTGGGTATAACATCTGTGTAGCCATGACAACTGTGCTTGAACAGTGAACTCTAAAAACAATAGCAATTCTAGAATTTAATGAAAACCTTTAACTTAATCACGTGATCCTTCATGGGAGCGAACATCCACTGCTGTACCTCTGTGTTGATGCTTCGTCACATGCAGTACGCTTACCGTATCTCTGTATTGTCTTGTAAATGAAAAATGTAAATTCAGGCCAAATGTTCAGAACACCAGCCAAGTCATTTATTAGGAATTGTTGTTTAATGGGATGGAAAATGTGAGAAAGGCAAACATCCAGGTTGGCTGGAAAAACCACGTCATTCACTTCGTGCTCTCTTTACGTCTGTTTGACAATCCTGTAGATCGATGTCACTCGCATCATCTCCAATAAAACATACAATTAAATTGTCCAGTGTTTTTAAGGTTGTAAATGCATGTTTTCATAATTTAGATCTTTTAAATACAATTACATCCGATCAGAGTCAATACACAATTTTTGGTTTGATTATCCGGAGAGTTGTCTGAATTCAAGCAATTTCTTCAGTTCACATTGAACAAAATTGACAATATTGAGCACAACAGATGAATCTCTTTTGTCATTTCAGTTTCTAATCCAAAATGAGTTTACTTCAAGTAATACGTAGCTTGCAAAGGTAAACAGCTTTGCGTAAAAGAGGCGATTCCTTAACAATTAATCAAACTCACATAACAATCATATTACGAATAATCAAAATGTACGTAATCGATTATAAATTAAAACAAAAACGCAGGAAATATTTCAGCCCACTTGTTGATTCGTTTTTGGTGCACGGCTGGCATCGCCTTTATTTGAAAGCAAAATGAAATAAATTAAAGCGAGACATGTAGAAATGTTGACAAATGCAGACAGGTTTCCCTTGAAAATAATGAAGGCAGTGGGTCCCATGGTGCTTGAATGACACGGCTTTGTGCCGACTGAGCCCCCCTTCTCATTACGGTGTGTGTAATGCCTTATTGGTTGACCGCAATAGTGGGGAGCGCCTCGGACTTCATACTTTCCTGCCCAATGCAACGCGCTTCGGCATTTTTCTAGCGCCTCGCAGACACTTCGTGCTGCAACAGATCGAGTACTTCTGGGCGACAGTTATCCGTCTGTTAAACTTCAGCCTTTTTTGCGCTTCAATGCCCGACATGCCCACCTATGCCGCCCGCCCCCTTTTTAAGCTACGATACGCTTTTTAAACTAATGCAGTAGCCACCGATCATCCTTAAATGACGTTAACATGCAAAGTTAACGGTGCCGATTTCCCGGGGAATCTAATATAAACCGACAGCGTTCCGTCCATTTTTTTTTTGGGTGCTGGAAAGGAAAAGACGACTATCCTGGATACTTGGCAAACTTTGTAGCGCCAGTGAAGTCTCGTCCTTTGAGAAGCATGGGCACATTGCGCGATCTCCAGTACGCTTTACAGGAGAAAATCGAGGAACTGAGGCAGCGAGACGCTCTCATAGATGAACTGGAGCTGGAGCTGGATCAGAAAGACGAGTTGATCCAGAAGCTGCAGAATGAGTTGGATAAATATCGCTCGGTGATCAGACCGGCAACCCAACAGGTCCACAAGCAGAGCGTCCTCCAGGAACATCAGAGGACCAAGAGGCAGGCTATCTCAGCTGAGCCCACCGCCTTTGACATACAGGATCTCAGCCACGTTACCCTTCCTTTCTACCCAAAGAGCTCACAGTAGGTTCTGCGATTCCTTTTAAAGTCGTTATGCATTGCTATCGCCCCCGTTTTCAGTTTCATTATAAGCAATTTCGCGGGAATAAGCGTACGTGCATAAACGCATCGCTAGTGAGTCTTATTTAACTTATCGCATCTTAAATCGCCGTAAGGTATTTCAGACCAACATTTTAATACCAAATAGTTTTCAAGTGTAATTACCTACAATCAGGCTTAATCTATGCCTTAGCTACTCATAATCATACGATATAAAATGACACGCACAATCCTTTCACCGAATGCGGTCCAAAAAGTTATTAAAGTTATATATATAGTCGCATCATTTTCAGTTAATTGAATTCTACAACTCCTGGCATCTTGAAGCTGCTTGTTTCACGCATGTTGTATTACCTGTATCCGACATTTTCTTTTTAATGCCGTATATCCATACCAGTACTGGCATTTTATAATATCTTAAAATGTTTTAAATGAGGTTTTTTTTTTGGGGGGGGGGGGGGGCGGTGGGCATGGTGTATGTAGGTGTTGTTCAGGAAATGACAGGTAAACATCATGTCAGTTTTGGGCTCAGTATGCAAAGCTCCATGTGACAGAATGATCTGTTATAAATCCGTTTAAACAACTGTGCATGAATATTAATATTCTGACAATGTGAGTCATGTATATTTGTCTCCGGACTGAACGTTTCTCCAGCGTGTCGGCACTCCAGCCTCAGACCAGTTACATGTTACATGGTGATTGTTATTTTCTGGATCAGCGGGTGCTGATGGTGTGTGACTCACCTCGCAGGGACGAGGTGAAGGCAGCCGATAGCTTCCCCACTTGTTGCTCTCGCTTTGTTGCTGTCTACTGAGATCATGGTGCGTTGAGTACTGGGGGTGGTATATAGAGCCCAATATTCATTCATCAATAATCACGTGTGTAAAGCAGTCGACTTAAGCATTTATGGGCCATTTTATATTTGACTTGCAGAGACCGTGGGGTGAGAATAAAGAATTCAACAAAGGCTAGGTTAATAGGGGTTTTCTCCCCCAGTCATAAATGCTTCGGACAGGAGGATAGCAGTGTGACAAAGGCAGCTTTTTTATTACGTGTACTAGCTGCGCCTGACATTTGACTTTCCACCGTACCTTACCCCCCCCGATTTCATTCCACCTCCTCGGATGCTGATTAACGTTCCGAAAACATTTACATAATCTAAATATAAACGTACGCGTAGCAGTATAAGCACGACCAAGAATGGAGTCCAACGAGCACAGATAAGGATATTTTTGTCGGCAACTGGTATACAAAGCTGAGACAACCGTGTTGGGGGATGGAAAGTAAGCATATGCGGCGTGTTATTTGGAGCAGAAAAGAAACTCGTCGTCCCCTCAGCAGATATTTGCTGGATTTTTGTTTAAATACCTTTTCACTTTTGTTTGGCAGTCGAAGTGCATCCTTGATTCCTTTCATCAAGGGTGACTTCCGTAGTAAAATGTCAAGGCGGAGCCTATTCACGGTCCGTGCCCAACAAATCCAGCGTTTAAATAAACCTTACATATCACTCGATTTAATCCAGCTGCCTTGGTTTACAGTCATTATTATATTATATTAACAGAATGGTTTATATGTTCACTTGTTTATTTATATGTTATTTCCCTTTGATGTAACTAATGGTCAGTGTAGATGGTGCCAGGGAAGTGAGAGGACGACAATGAATTCAGTGAGCAAAGTTGCGTGCCTCACAAATTATCTACAGCACATACAGTTATGATGCGAGAAGCCCACGTTTCTCAAGCAGAAGCCGTCAGACCGGCCTCTCTGGAATTCATTAGCTTCAGGGGGTGAAAAGTTAAGCAGTTGGCTTCTCTAGGCATTTGTCATGACCAAATTTGCTTGGGGCGTATTGTTTTGTAAGAATCTAAATAATTCTTGCTCCAGTGGGACAGTTTCTCTTTTTTTGCCCATATACAGCAGAGTGTGTTTGCATTCACAGCTTTTGTTTACCCTTATAGCCCTACTTGCAGCGCTGGCAAATGGTCAAACAGATTTCTATTCATGTTTCTTTACAGCATTTCACATTGGCTTGGGGGCACAGTTCCAAGATTTCGGTCGGGCACCTTTTTTTATTTCTCTAAAAGTCATCCACAGGGCTTGTAAGTGTGGACCAGCTCAGTTTGCTAGAAGGTTCCGGAATGTCTCCCTGTTGTTACATCCTGCCCACCCTATCCACCTGACCCTCCTGTCCCTTCCCCAGCGTGACTCTAACAAGCCGTGCCTGTTACTTGTTTATTTTTCCTCGTTCCCAACCTCCGTGTTAATGACTCCCAGCTGTCTCTTGTTCGCTCCCTCGATAGTCTTGTATATACGTGCTTCCCAGTCCTATGTTCCCCAGTCCAGTCATTGACGTCGTACCTTCCTATTGCCTGTGCCCATCCTAATTTCTAGTCCTCCTATCCGATTGCTCGCAATCCTGTTAGCTTACTGTCCCTGTTCATTTACTTCAATAAAACCCTTTTCTGTTTTGCCAACACGCCTGCCCTCGAGTCCTTTGTCCCTCAAGGCATGATACCTGTGAATTGCTGACTCAATAGGAGTATTTAAGAAGGAATGGCAGCTACAACAGGTTCCATCTCCTTTTATTGCCAGTCCTTTACCGATATTCCACAGATACCTGCCCCGGTGACATGCTGATTACACTGGGTTTAGATTGCTTATTGTCTCAGAGTGCACAGCCTGACCGATCGATGATCGCAGCACTATAGGCTTTTTAATAATGTCGTTGTGGAACATATCCATTGGGTCACTTCTTAAAGGAGCATATTTTGTCCTTTTAAGGGAATATGCCTGTGTTTACTTCTCAGGCTTGACAGACAAAAAATCTTCTTTTATAAAGGGATAGGGGGGAAGGGGATACAAATTGTAAAAAGTGAAGCTTTTATGAGGCTAGGAGGTGATGTCTGCAGGCAGGCCTAATGTCGTATCATAAACACAACTGGAGCGGGTGGCCTTTGTGGTCAGATGCTGTTTCCAGTGTGTTCCAGTGAATCTCTCTCCCCTGTCTGGGCAAGCAACACATGGTAAGTTCTCAGAAATGCCTTCCAGACAGTTCGAGCAAGTAAAAAGCCAGTCGTACGTTTTCAGTTCGCCCGATCACAGGTCTGGAACTGCGTCTTGTGTTGGCTTAAGTCGGCAAAGACGACTTCTGTACAGCTACTTATCTGCTAGGATTCCCCACCAATGATTCTTTATATCTAATAAACAAAAAGAGTCCAATGACCTGCATCTGTTTTTCTGAATGTCCTTGTTGCTTTTTCCAAGTGGCAATAGTCATAATCAATTTCTCACAAACTATATTGATTGGTAGTCTGTATTCTCCTGTAACCTTTCCTTGATTGTATGACCTGTTGGGTACATAAGGTTCATTGTGGTCTGGAAGAGGATGATGCTTGTTTCACTTGCTACCAGACTGCCCTTGTTACCATGGTGATGTAAACATCATTCCTGAGACACACAGGAATGCGGGTATTCGGCCTAGTGTCTCCCGCTGGTATATATTTTTTCCTCTCTTGTACGTGATGTATGTCAATGCAGTTATTAATAACATTCAGTAATTGATAAAAAAAGCATCTTTAGGTGGAGAAAAAAATTTATTGATTGGCATGATTGGTTCCTCTGTAGATCTCACTGCAGGGGTCTGGTAATTTCTGAGACAATAACAGTATTATACTCAGTTTAAGTCCCATTAAGCTTGTTGGAAATTAGTCTTTTGCAGGGCTGATAAGGGAAGTCCATTTTATTGTGCTCAGTGCATTTGCATTACGTTTGTGTATCTGTCTATCTGTCCATTTCAGCTGAGAATCATGGGATTGATGCCTCTTGTTAGCTGCTGCATGCGGATTTTATTCCCAGGACTAAATCACAAGGAGTTTCTGTGTAGGGATGTATTAAACAGCTACAGTATATACATGGTATTTTTCAGAGTGATTGCTGATGGATGTTGTAAAGGCGATTGTTTCTTTGTTGCGATTAGAATTTAGATCAAAGACTACTTGTCCTGCAAGTAAATAGAAATGAATAATAAAAATAATGACTGCTAATTAAGTATTTTCCTTCAAGGGTTTTCCTACCTGTATATATGATGAGCTACGGTTAAGTGTGTGCATGCAGTTCAGATGTTGATTTGACCCACAAACACGTTTCCTTTTACTACTTGTATAGCAATGCATTTTTACGTTTGTGGGAAAATAGAACAAAACACATGATAAAGTATGTCAGCATAGCTGCTCTGGTCTAGAGATGAACTGTGGCCCCATTCCAGTGTGGAAAATGCGCCCCCCCTCCCCCCCATCACTGACATTCATTTTGAGTGGAATATCCCACTTAAGACCCAGCTGTAGAATGGAGCTCTCTGTTTTCCTCTCTCTCTCAGTCCAAGCTAAATAAAGAACGGGAACATCCACATTTCCTCATTCCCTTGTTTTTACTCCTTGTAGCAGAATATATATAAAACTTCACAGTGATACCGTGGGATATCCTGTAGGTCTTTGTAGCCTTCCTTGAAAAAGGAGCCCCGGCCTCGGCGGCATAGTCACATTTCGGGGGGGGGGGCCCTTCAGGAAGGTCCTGAACCCCCAGCTCCAGTGGTGCCGCATGTTGGCTGACCCTGTGCCGTGACCCCCCCAGGATGGGACAGGCAAAGAGAACTCCAATGTTCTTGTGCAAATGGCAAATAAAAGAGTTATTAAGATTGTTATTATAATTACTATTATTTATTATTATTACTATTATTATTATTATTCAAGGTTGTGAACAAAGAACGACTACATGTGGAAAAAGTCTTCTAGAAAACTACTAGCAGAATAATTTCATTGCTTGACTGTTTACCAAATAAATTATGGCCTACAGTATTGTAAAATCATCGCCATTATCATTTCTCCCAAAAAGCCATCTGACCACAGAGATCTGCAATAGCTGCTAGGGAAATTACTACGTTAATGGTAAAATTTATACACTATCAATTATGATGTGTTTATCTTAGGGAAAAAGTCATCTACTTGCTGAGAAAATCATGCTTAATCATGTAGCTTACATGTGATAACTTTGGCTGTCTCCATGGTAACTGTCCCAAAATGATTTTTTGATTTATGCGCATCTGCTGGTGGATGTCGCTTGAAGAAAAACAAATATTTTTTGTTGTCTCTGGAAAGGTTCGTTTTATTAGCATTTTTTTTTTGTTCAGTTAAGAATTTTGAACAATATCTGTCACATAGTCTATACAAAACAAAACAAAACAATTCACCTTTTTATCACTGTGAGGAAACAAGGTCTATCAGATGGTTTTAGATGCTATTTTTTAGTTTTATGTGCTGACTGTACGATATATAAAAATTAAAATGATTTTAGAATCAGAAACTTGGAGTGTCTCCCACCTCCCAGCTGTGACTGTTAACGTTTTTTTCTTTTATAAGTGTGTTAGTTCTCCTTGGTCTTTTAATTAAATTTTATTTTTATTCATATTTAATTCGATCCAGCCTCCAGCAATGTGTCACGTGTTTCAAGAGGCATCTGTGCACTGGCACACGAGCGATAGCAAGATAAGCTCGGACAATGGCGAAGCTCTATAGCGACGTAAGCGCGTTAAGAGCGGATGGGCGGCGCGCGGCTGGGGGACGCGCGCCGCGCCGCGCTCGTCTCCGAGGGCGACGTGGCCAAACATACGGAATTCCCGCGAGACCGCGGCGGCTGTCACTTTTCTTCGTTTACTTACGCGGATGCTGTGAGGCAACCCAGAGCTGAGGGATGTGTCAGGAGATAGACTGCAGGACCTGCTAATAGACTTTTTTTTTGGTCAACTGGCCTCCTCCTAAAGTAATCTGTCGTGAAATATATAAACTAGGTCAATTTAAAAAAATAATAATTTTAAAAGTTTCAGTCTCACCGAACTTTTTGTCAATAGCGTTGAACTTCTGGTCTGTCATATTCAGACCAGATAAGGAAGAATATGTTATCAACATTATGGTATGAATTATAAATTTGATACTTCACGATATTATTTTGCCCCCCATTATTTTTTGAACACTTGTTCTCTTTATTATTTCACAATATTAGACAAGGAAGTGAAGATTTCGATGCTTCCTTCTCCAAGCTGGGTCTTTCCTGAATCATTTCAGGTTATGAGCCTTTGCTGAAGGTTAACATAGCAGGACCTTCCTGGAACTTGTCCTGGCACTCTCCACTATGTCAAACACACTATGTCAGTCGCTGCCCTCGGCAATAATCCCAGAAAAGTACTTTGAGACATTTGCGAGTGCCAGTTAGTCAGGAGGGTTGTGGTTGCGTGGTTTGGAGTCACCTACCCAGGTCACCCAGGTTAGCTTGTTCAGAAAGGCTTTTGCTTTTACGTTTTAGTTCACGTTTGACTTATATTGTCAGGATTCCTTCGGAATAACTTCCCTTAAATCCCCTGCTTAAAATCACTCTTTCCTCTCTCAATGGTATACATGTGCCCAATGTATTTAAGCACTTATCTATTTAAGCAATTGTTGAAGAAAACTGTGTCGGAGTTTGGTTGTGAGGATTAAACACTGCAGTCCTGGGGATAAATAAGCTCAGAAATACCGCTGCTTCCCGTCCGTTCACAACACATGAGTTTGCTTTTTCTCGGCGAAAATCAGACAGCCTCATTCAGTGTCATCATTCATGTGTCTTCATCCGCCAGTGGGGCAGAGTTAATGCTCTGCCGCTATAATCGAGCTGTTCTCTAATCTCTGATGGGCTTCAATATCCCCTGCATTACCACTGGGTTTCAGAACTGCAGATGTTCCACTTTAAGCCACTGTGTCGCTAAGGAAACATCTTTTTTTATGTTGGAATATAGCCATTATGCCATTTCTCAAATGGCTCAAGTGCATCTTTTTATATTATAGATGGAACCCAATAATTGCAAAAAGTCAAGTAGAGCTTCAACCTTTGGTCGTTTATGTACTAGTGTACTAGTATGTACTAGTGAAGCCTCACCGATAGCTGCGCAATGGGCTTTCCTGTGAAAGCGGCTTACTGTATCTGGCTCCCCCAAATCGCAAATGGCTTTTGCAAAGATAAAATGTACTGACAATGCAGAGAAACAACACTAATTTATTTTTTCTCCTGTATTCTCATGTATTGTAGGTTTCAGTCTGGTTTGTAGACTTCCTTCCATGTAAATTCTATTAAAAGCTGTCATGTGAGATTGTTCTGAGGATAAGGCACCATTGTTCAGTTGGTGTCACTCTCCTGCTGTTACCCAAGTATTACTGATAATCAGAATATGCTTGTATGTAATACATATATTTCCAGCATAAGAATAACTTGAACCCTTCATAAAAATGAGCAGTTATCATTGTATTAAATCAACAAGACAAACAATGATTCAAAAGTTTTTTTTGAGTTTTTGGGGACCTCATGCACTTCTATGTACCGAGTCATATGCTTCATATGCCAATTTTAACACAATGTTTTTTCAAACTGAGAACAACTATAAGTGGTTGTAAGATTGGTGGACTTGTGACCATGAACAGGAAAAGCCATTAAAAGATGCATGGATAGACAGACAGGACTAACTAAAAAGATATAGAATATATAGATATAGAATATATAGAAATAGTAATGTATAGAAGCACTTCAAGATCCATCTGTTTCTGGAATTACTCTATTAGTCTGATTGTTTTTCTGTGTTCCCTGAATGTCCTTCCTGTTGCACTTGAATCGTCTTATTAAGTTCTTGCTTTGTTTGGAAGATATTGTGTAGCTCCTGCTCCAATACTGGTTACATTTGTAGCTGGGCGTTCTTTGGAAACTCAGCCTTGCGGCTCTTACGTCTAGTCAACTCCTCAACAGCATATATGTTTGTAATGTGCTGTTTGTATGTCGCTTTGGACAAAAGCATCGGTTAAATAAAAGTAAATGACAAATGTAAATGTAAATAGGCTATACTGCTCTTTCCGTTAGTAAGTGAGAAAATTCGTAGTTGAATAGTGACATATTGAGGAGAATATACAGCATGTAATGATTAAAGGAATATACCACATTATGCTCTAAATGACCTTTTTATTACTCATTTTACAGGTCTAAGGACTTAATCAAGGAAGCTATTCTGGACAATGACTTCATGAAGAACCTCGAGCTTTCGCAAATCCAGGAAATTGTGGATTGCATGTATCCGGTTGAATATGGCAAAGACAGCTGTATCATCAAGGAAGGTGACGTGGGGTCGTTGGTGTACGTTATGGAAGGTACGTCTGGCTGAACCTCATCATCGGTATTATAACGCCACATGTAGGTGTTTCCGTTATTACGGATGCATTTTACTTATTTCACTCGCTTATATTTTTTGGAACTTTTGGATGAAACTAGACCAATAATATTGTAAGAAAAACAGTTTCCTGGGGAAAATGAAGACATTTCTCTGCACAGTGACACTAACAAACGCGCTAAAGCAGAAGCGCAGCTCAGTCAAGCTCGTTGCTAAAGCTCTGAATGAGGAAAGCATGCTGCAATCCATAGCATTTAAAAATGATCAGGTAACGCAATAGCTGTAAATTTCTAAGATTAATAATTTATATAGATATTTAAAAATATGGGCATGCCAAACAAGAGCTTTTAAACAAACGTAGGGATGAGGTGTGTCATTTGCTATGTTTTGGTGTGTGTATTTTGCATGCGTGAGGAGACACTTGTGTTCCTCTGATGAAGCATAATGAATGTTTTCAGAATATGCTGTAAAACGTCTTCTGACTCATTTTTCCATCTGAAAATGAGCAATTTAAATGTCATGGCATTATGGGGGCTTGTGCAAAGGGAAGCCTTTCCTCCTGATCACGGAGAGATGAGGACAGGCACAGAGGAGTGGCCTGTGCAGCAACTGCAGCAAACAGAGGAGCTTCCTGAGTGTGTGATTCACTGTGAGGCACAGTTGGCCAAATTGCTGGTTTGAAGTTAAGAAGTCAAGTCTAGTCAAGTGGGCTTTATTGTCACAGTGTCCATAGGCAGGAATACAGTAGCATGAAATAGCCTTTCAGCTGAACCATGGTGCAACTTACAACAGCAGTGACAGGGGAGGGCTTTTCATAACATTTAACAAAACACAGGACATTGCAAATATAGGGGGGCTGGACACAAGAACTTATATACAGAGGTGGGTAGTTCAGGTCCGGAAAGTAAAAATCCAGACCAGGATTTTGTTTCAATCAACCTTTTGAGCATAAATAATCACAGTCACAGAGTACTTTGTTGGTTGGTTGAAACAAAATCCTGGTCTGGTTTTTTTACTTTCTGGTTCTGAACTATCCACCGCTGTTTATATATACTGTGCAATGTGAATATACAAAAAGAAGTAAGATGTAATGGGGTGGAACGAATATAGTGGCTTAAATTAATAATGAACAGATAAATAAAAATAGTGACCAGGGCCAGTCCAGAATGAGTAGGGATTTCTGTGAGGTTTTTGTGAGATTTCAGAATGAGTAGGGATTTCTGTGAGGTTGTTTTTTTGCACTAATGTGTTGGGTGTGTATGTGTATCTGTGTTCCTGTTATGGAAGGTGCCTTTGGCTCAAGCCAATTCTTGTGTTTTGCATTCTCCTGTGATTTTTTGCACTTTACACTGTTGTGGAAAAACCCTCCCCCTGTCACTTGCTGTTATATCTTGAACCCTGATCTAGAGAGAAATTTATGTCATGTGTTAGAATTTATGTCATGTCACTGTATACCTGTCTATGTTTGCCATGATGGTAAAGCCCACTTGACTTACAGTACATGATTTACGCAGCGCAAACAGGAATGTGTAAAGCCTTAGAAGGATTTTGGAAATGTGTGGCATTCTTGGTTGGATTCAGTAGCGGTCAATGTCAACCATGCCTGAGATGGATGTACACTTTGTCTCTGAAAGACAATAAACTCCAGTGGACAACAGAGGTGAACACTCCAGCTTATCTCTGCCACGAAGAGCATTCTGAATCTTTTGGACGTTATCTCCAGACATAACAAATATCGTTTACAGACCTCGATTAACTGTTAAAACATCCATTGAATTATACAATGAATTTGTGGTAAACAATGTTGAGCAGTTTTCATTTTCTTTGCAAGCAGCATTGTATTCAGCAATAGATTATATGCTGTTTTATTATGAACAGTGAAACTAACAATGCAGCGCAGGAAATTTCCACTCCCTTGATTAGATTGTGAGACTCTTTCACAGTTGAATTGAATGTCACAATTCAAAGGCGTATGCTGACAGGAGGAACACTGGGGCTAAATGAGGATGTCCTCAAAGCTGCATTTGGGTGGGGGGCTGCCCGTGACCCTGGCTTAGGTAATGGAGCGGAATGTGTTAGAATGATGTGGCTCTGATTTTCACAGCATGGGCTGGTTGCTCAATAGGCAACCACTGGTTAAACGCTGAGGTCTGCAGGACTGTGGGAGTCAGGGAACTGGCACCCTTTGGCTTGTTTCAGTGCATGTGTAATTCTTCAGCTCCGCATTTCTTGTAGCAAAACATTAATCATCAGCGGGTGTTTAATGATCATCAAAGGAGCGAGCTTCCTTCCTTTATAGAAACACTGAATGGTTCTCACTTGACCAAAGAGAAATAATCACACACTTGCGTGCACAAACAAATGAAACACACCTAAAGAATACAGTAATGTTGACACCTTATTGTCTGAGATTGTCCTGGCTCTCCTGCTAGGCTTGCATCGACCTCACTTGACTTACGTTGAGATTCCTAGGCCTGGCAGCCCATGGCTGTTTCCCAAGCAGCCGGTTCATTCAAAGTAAGACACACGGTCTTATCTTAGCATACTCACCGAAGCAGTCGAATGGGGGATTTTAGAATGATGGGGTTTGCGGAGACCCTATACGGGTAAGTAAGGAGATCGTTTGATCTGTAATGGAAGGACAATTGAATCTTACTGATGTATTTCACTTGAGAGATAGATTTCTCTTTGGCTCTGATTCCTTCTGCTGGGCCTTGGGCATAGCATTCCCGCCTCCAAGGGAAATCCTGCTTCCAGACCTGGAAGGAGTGAGTTATCGTTTATGAATGCAAAGTAGCAATACTTGTAGTAGCTAACAGAAGCTAAAATATGTAGCTGTGCTAATTAATGTGCAGGTATATGAGTTTCTTATCCCAGCCAACAGTTTGCACAATTATATTTATATTTATTTGTGTGTATTTCTGGAGAATTGAAAAAAAAATGTAGGGTACTGCAGTTGGGCTTCCTTGGGGACAAAGGTAGCGCAAAGTCTTTGGGTTATGAATTGCGAATAACTTATGCTACCTGCTGCTATCAGGCCGACCCGAACTAGCAGAACATATCTTGGCACATTTTCCTGCAGCACTGATGTTTGGTGAGTGTCGCAGCTGGTTGCGCATTTACTGAGGTAAAGCAAAGTTACCCTGGTAGGTTAGGGAGGATCTCTGAAAGCTAATCTCAGGCAATTGTTCAGGTTTGTCTTTTATAAGAAACATTTTTCACCATGTTTTTTTTTCTTGGTGCCTTAAGCATTCATAGTCAGATGATGACGTTTACAGATAGACTGTCGATTATCTGTAATTAATGGGGAAACTCGTGAGCTGTTAAAACAAGCAATTGCATAAGAATCCATTAAAAGCAGCGTGGGTGGCTGGCCTATTTTGAGCTCTTCATGAACCTGATGAGTCCTTGCCATTTCTTGTCCAGGAGCATCCTGTTCTGTTGTCGACTAGCTGCATGCTCCATGGGAAATATATTCCTGTAAGGCAATAAATAGACTGAAATACCTACATATAGGGATCTATATGCTTTTCAATATAAAACTGCTCACGTCCTATTAAATATATAAAAAAGTCCTGCACACTCTGAGGTAATGATCTCATCTTCATCAATAGCATGAGGCTTCAGCGACGATTATGTTCCAAGGGGATATCTTCAGAAAACTGTGCAGCTTCGCAGTCATTAAACGTAAAGACTTGCCGTCGTTTGATGGCTTATTAACCTGCATTAGTTCTAGGGAGGCCTTGTTGTGTGGAAGAATGAGAGCTTTCTGGATGTAATTTTGGGAGGTCAAAGGTAGAGCTGACCGTGAGAGTAACGTCTTAATAGGGATATGAGCCACAAATTATCCAAAGAGCTTCATCAAGAAGTGTCTGGGTCTGAAAGACATAGCGTAGATGCTGCTTACGCTTGTACCCGCGCATTCATGGGAAGCTCAGCTTAGCTGCCAAGTGGATAATACAATATAAATGTAAAATAAATGTCTCTAATGAAGGGATGCAGCGCCGTGTTTTGGAATGTTGCGCGTTTGTGGCCCAGCTGCTGGACGTCACACAGTCGAACCCGCAGTACAGCTCCCTGCGATGTCCACTGACAGACGACAGTCGAAGTCACCAGCCTGCCTCTCAGGATGTCGTCTGGCGTGGCAGCCGTTTCGCTGCGGCCACCGTTCCTCCTAAACCTTGTCAAACGAGCCCTGACAAACGAGCCCTGACAAACGCCCCCCCCCCCCCCCCGGAGATCTCCTGCTAGCCGTAGCGGGGAAACATTACAGGAATCTGGGCTTGTCTGTCATGTTTTATACATGACGCCAAATGCAGTGTTAATTTCCAATGGCAGGGACCATCTCTTAATAGAAGGGATTCAAAATACTTTCTTTGCCTCATTTACTCAAGTGTTTTTATTTGAGTTTTATTTTTACATTTTCTTTTGTGTACTTTATTTTAGTAGCAACGTGCTTCTCAGCTCAGGATTTCAGTGTACTGAATCAATAACACTGGTTTAGGATGAGAGCACAGGAGTTCTTGTTTAAATTATCATAAAATCAGCACGCGGGGTGAATCAATATTGCAGCAGGCAATTAATAACGGCATTGCTTCAATATTGACACATATGGGTTGAGGACACGCTCGATTGAATAATCTGTCTCACACAGGGGCTGTCGTGTGACACCTGAAACGGCTGGGAAGAATTTGGTAAATTGCACTGCAATTTAAGCATATGTGTTAATATGTGGTTTTCATTCAAATAAAGTGGAGTAAGATGTCAATATTAGACAGCAGTTGTCTGAATTAAGGTTTTCTGAATGGCACACTTGGATTTACAGTAGAGTCTTCATTTTCTCTTTTTTTCTAAAATTCAGGTTAGTGAAGCACGTTTATTTCCCTCTACAACTATAGCAATCACCACCCATAAGTACAAGCTGTTTTGTTTTTATTTTTGTTATTTTTTATTATTTGTCTTTGCAGTGTGATAAAATTA